TATATATATTCTTAAGTAGACAATTCTTAAGTATTAATCCCATTGAGTATGGAAACTAGATTTTATCAGTGAATCTAGAGACACAATTACACTTAAGTTGAAATTATTGTTTAATGGATAGTCTGTTGTTATTTCTGAGATAATATGTTAAAACCAACTAAATTCATGTAGCTCAAGATTTACCTTTATTACAAGTTAAATATCACCCCCTAGATGAGTGAAAAAATCTGGTAACCTTATCCTGTGTATAAATTACAAGATTGACATAATTTTTCACATTTTATTTATTGAATTAAAATATATTGTTTTCTTTATGTTTATCTTTTTGAAATTCGTTTTGTAGGGAGTATTACCATGTTAATGTTGAAACACAGAAGAATATAGCTCATGAACTCTCTAAAAATTATTTTGCAATTAATAGAAAAATTATTATTACTCTTTTAATTTTTTATAGGTGGTGAGTGTCTCTCGCACTCCAGGTCATACTAAACATTTTCAAACCATTTTTCTGACACCAAATGTGAAGTTATGCGACTGCCCTGGTTTAGTATTTCCATCAAAGACACCCAAAAATTTGCAGGTAATTAGAATATGTAAGCAAAATGAGTAATTTCTTTGCAATGCTCTTCTTTGCTAATTTCTTTTCTTCACTTTTGAAGTAATAATTGTATAAAGTGATTTTTAAAATACTCTATTTAAGAATAAAAATGACAAATCTCCCAAGGGGAAGGTTACAACTAATACAAAGAACATTTGTGAATTAAACATCCTTCAGCCCCTCCCTTCTCCCGTCACCCCACCTTCTACCTCTTGGCTCTCTCCATATCTACTTTCCCTTTTGCACTATGTGAAAGGGTTCGGAATATTCAAATACAATTTGAGCTGTCTAGCTCATTGGAAATGGTGGAATAAATTAACTAGACCATTTTCAAAAGAAATATTCATGTTCTCTTTTTCTACCGTGCGCCAGGAAAGTCTCTCTGCAGTGTTACCATGAATGTGAGAGTGCTAGCTACAGAAATTATGTTGTTATTAAGAGCACCAGGCAGCGCTGGGACCATCTGAATGGCGTTGCAAAAGCTGCGATGGAGGAGGGGGTGAGGTTATACCATGCATGCGACCCTGTAGTTGCGCACGAAGTTGCAAGCACACTATGAGACAAGGCTGAAGGCTGAAATGGAGACAGCTGTGGCAGGCTCTGACTCGTGTCAGTGTGGAGAGACTTTCTGGCACACATTATTAATTACGAGGTGTCTTATTTTTCTCTCACTTTTTCAAGGTACTGATGGGCAGTTTCCCAATTGCCCAGTTAAGAGAACCATATTCATCCATTAGATATCTTGCAGAGCATATGGATTTGATTAAACTCTTAGCCTTGCAACATCCTGAAGATGATGAAGAGTGGTCAGCCATTGATGTCTGTAATGGTATGTCTGAAAACAAATTTTTTTAATTTCTTTATATAAATTAACAGGTAGAAGGAAATTTACTGGTCACCTGGAGGATTGACAAATACAAATGTAAGTGGTTGGAAGTAATTTTTTTTTACTGAAGGTTGATGTATGAATTCTAAACTTCGAAACCTGCTATTAAAACATACTTGCAAGGAGACTTAAGACTACTTATGACCAAAAAATACATGCTTTCTTGTGATGAAAGTGCTTGACCCACTGTTTCAAGGACTATGTAGGTTATGTCATAACTAACACATAATAAGATATTTAAGAAGAATAAGTTACTGAGGTCATAATGACTAATACTTATTACAATGAAAAGAACATCTGTGACTTACATATGTTGACAAAAAATGGTGTTTGACCACAGGGTATAACGATAATTTATAATTCATTAAGGACATTAATAGCCTTGTATTTCAAAAACTTTTCTTGTGAATGTATCTGTAATAATTCTTGAATGTTTTTTTCTATTGATACTTTTCTATAGCTTGGGCACAAAAGAGAGGCTTTTTTACTGCTCGTACTGCTCGCCTCGACTCGTATCGTGCTGCTAATCATTTGCTGCGGATGACTCTTGAAGGAAAAATTTGTCTCTGTCTGCAGCCTCCTGAATATTCCCAAAAGAAAGGTATTGACATTTCCTTTTTTTTTTATTTACGCATTTATTTGCAAAATTGGTATTGTTTGCATATTTACATTTTGACCTGAAATGTGAGGGTTCAGTTTGAAACATCTAAAATGCTTCATTTGCACCTTAGTAGAGTTGCCATAAGGATAACTATGAAATTCGGGGCATCTGAAATATATTTCAGAACAAATTGGTTATTTTTGTACAACTAAATTGTATATCAAGAAAATTATATAACAAGGAAATAGAATATCAAGTAAACAACTAATAGAAGATGAAGATAAATTACATTTGCACACTTTCAAGAATAACAGGGTGACCACGCTTTCTAGAATGAATTTCTCTAATTATTAAAATACTGTTATTCACCTTTGCATTCCAGATTTTCTTGCACTAACACATTGTGAGAGATAGATGCACTTTGATTCAAAACGCACAGTACCTTTCTGTATTTATTTTTCAGCTCTCAGATTGTTCCATAAAAAGACAAAAAGAACATTATTTGCTTATCAAAGTAATTAGCTGCTTGCGTTCTTTAATGTAGTGCATAGTTCTGTGATGTACTTCACGAATAGCCCTAAAACAGTTTTTGTAGGACTCTGTGGAATTATATCAGAGTATAAAAATTCAGGACATTTGTCTGAAATAAAGAAAAATTTGGTGGGACAGGGGGGTACATGTAAATATTGAGGATGTGTGCATAGGCGACCCTATGCACTGTGTGCATAGGCGACCCTAACAAATGAGTGCATTTTGTAATCACCATACTACTTCCGTTCTTGTTTCTCACTCTCTTACTACTACTTCTGTTCTTGTAGGTACTTTTACCTCTGTTAACTTGTCAAGGCACAGTTGTCTGGCATTCAGGAAGACGGGTTGAAGTTTTATAAAATTATACTAAAAAAGTAGTGATAAATATTTTTTAAATTAATTGTGATATCTCATTATTTCGAATATAATGGTTGAAATACTACTCAACACTTGGTTACATGCACATACTATCTATATACATATATTACTATAATCTATATACATATATTACTATAATCTATATACATATATTACTATAATCTATATACATATTATTACTTTCTCCCGCTTAAGAAGGAACTTTTTAAGAAGATAAAGTTGTATAATGTTGTGCGAAAAAACGGCGAATTATCTGCAGAAAAACGTATTACAGGGCTCTGGTAACAACAATGTGGATAAATGCCGTTGCTAAATTTAGCCAGTAGTGGTGTAGCCAGAATCCATGTTTTGTGGGTCTTTAATACCGAATCGTCGATTGACGGCGAGACCCGTCTGTCTATCCGTCGGTCTGTGAACAACGCTGGCGGCTAAATTGTTCAGCCGATTTGCTCCAAAATTGATATTCCCCGAACGATCTGACTGATGTCGGGGCCTTTTGAATTTGAACCCGATATTATATATATGGAGGGGTGTGCTTTACATGAAGCCCCAGGAACGTTTTCAAATTTTCAAAAAAAATTGCTCCAACTTTTTGTATTAAACTTTGTTATTGGATAGAGTAAAGGTCGTTTAACAGAATGGCGCAGGCCTAATTTTCATTAAAAACTGATTTTTCGAATATTACAAAAATTCAAATTTCTTTTGGTGACTTCCTACAACTAAAATTTTACAGACAGTATTTTTCCTGAATATAATCTGTCCTTGAAGATTGATTTGAAATAAGGTTATGTACAATTTTTCGAAAATTTGGGTATGTTCCGCATACTTGTGCGTGGAATACAGGCAACTTTAAATTTTGTTAAAACAATTTGTTTCTCAAAAACCGCTCCATTGTTTTTGATGAAATTTTGTTGGATAGTCTGAGGAATGTTTAAGAGAATGGCGCAGGTCTCATGTTGATTAAAAATCCATTTTTCGAAAATTGAAAAAATACAAAATTGTTTCGGCGTCTTCCTACAAGGACAATTATGAAGATACCTTTTTTTGTTAATGAAATGTGTTAATCAAGTACAGATCTTCAATAATGTCATGTTCGATATTTCAAAATTTTGAGAATTATTTGCGTAAAGAATTTGAAATTGATAATTCGAATTTCCAGCGCTTCGTTTGAGGCGGTGTCAGTCGGAAGTAGTAATTTGAAAGGCATATGCCCTTGGTTATTCTGAAAGTCCCTTCTCATTGTTTGACTTAATATTAGTGATCAACCTAATATTACAAATCGTTGTTGTTAGCCAACGCCCACCCTTGACATGTTTGCCATTTGGTGACGCGCCGACCGGAAAAGACTTGCAGACTTGCCCCTCAGCTTCTAGGGATCCGCATGCCCACAATGGTGACTAATCACTGTTGCTCATTTGGCGTTACCCAGGGGACACGTGTGGTAGACCACGGACGCTAGTGACTCTGTCCCCGCTATGAATTAATAATAATAATAATAATAATAATAATAATAATAATAATAATAATAATAATAATAATAATAATGATTTTGTACTCAAACCTTATGGGTTTACCATGAATGAACTGCTTGCAAGGATGTAGGCCGAAGTACTTCACCATGGATTCATCGTAAGCAAGAAATTCACATTCAAAAAAGTTATCAATAAAACGCTTCTTGAGAAGATTCAAAAGTGGGCGGAGCTTGAATAATCTGTCATTATTGTCAAAATCAGAATTATCAGCAACTTGAAAGTATTTGGCAATGGATAAAAATCTGTCCCAGCGCATACATTCAGATATTAATATATTCATCATGTCTGGCTTGGTATCCCAGTAACTTTTTTCCCTGGCAAAACATTATAACCAGAAAGGATAACTATACCCAGAAAAGCGTTTATATCTTCTGCCATAACATTCATATTATTTTCAAATGTTGACAAATCATATTTCTTGGACTCCATAAGGAAAAGGGAATTGTAACGGCGCAGAAGGGGTAGGGAGGGGGCGAGGTGTTTTCCTAAATTTCACTTTACGACGCTCCTATTCGTCCGATTTGCATGATTGTCACGGCGTTGGATTCAGGAAACATGCCGCCATCGCGCAATAAGCCCACATTTTTTAAAATCTTTTTTCTCGGAAGTTCAAGAACTAATTTCAAATTCGAATTTTTGCTAGATTTTTTGAAGAAGGGCTTGGTAGCGTAAATTCTATTTTAAAAAGGCGTCAAATGCCGTTTACAGATCGAAAATCGGACCATTGATTCAGACATTATCAGTAAATTCCCCGTTGATAGTGCTGCGATCTATTGAATTTTCCTACAAGTATTTTTCGGTACATTTAGCCTTAAGTGGAATTCTAATGACAGATTAGAGTGCAATATTCTTGGAAACTCTCATGTAACAGAATGTTGCTCTACCAACCTAAGAAACATAAAATCATGAAAATTTGATTAAAGTACGCAGAATACATTTCTGCGTTCTCCAGGAAAAAGGCCCATGGTCGTATGGGCCCCTCTTCTAGCTTCCGCCTCAATTAACTTGTGCGCCTTATTTATTTTTCCATTTTTTAATTTTTTTATTTTGACGATCTTGAAGTGAAGCGTCTTTGGTGCAAAGTAAACTTGGCTTTAAACGAGCCGTCCGTAGTTAGACAGCGTCAAAGTGATTGATTGAGGTTGGTGACATCGGCCGTTAAAGTAGCATACAGAGTCTCCAAATCGTATGCAGTTGCGTTAAAAAATTGAGACCTTTTTTATTTTTTAAAAAAAGTCGACTATCGAAGTAGTCTCGCCCTTAAATTGTTCCTTTGATATGTTTTCATTCACTATGTCGAAACTAGTACCAGAATCTTTGAATTGTCATTTACTTAGCCCTCGCAAATATGTGGCCGCAGATATTTCCTCGCACTGATGTCCGCTATTTGGTGTCAGATGAACTGCACCTGCGACAACTAGCATACAGCGATACCTTTCTCCGCCGCGGTCACATGACAGATGCTCGGCGATCGTTCACGCGTCCCAACACTAGCCCCCGCCCCAGGTTCTATTTTGAGTCTCATTAGATTAGATTTATTAATAATTCTGCAATTAAGTTTGAGAACTAGGGGGCAGAATACACTAACTTAACATTACAGAACTTAACAACTTTACAAAATCTCCAAACTTTACAAATTAACGTGAATATTTTACCGTGCAATCTTTCATAGCACTTCACTTCACCACACTGCGAAGCACCGAGCTGTAATGTCTTTCTTACACACTCGTTTCCCTCAGTTACACAACGTCACTGCACCTCACGCCACAACACTGCACATAATTAATAGTAACAAATGATAATAATGACAATAATAATACTTAATTACGTATACTATATAATTACTTACACTGAATAATATTAAATATAATTATTTCACACATATCAGCATTCAGGAAACTAATTTATTTTTAAATTTGCTCAGGCTTTTAGGAAAGGGATCGAAGATTGTCACAGGCAAACCGTTCCAGTCTCTAATAGTTCGATTCGCGAATGAATATTTCCCAACGTCCGTTTTCTGAATTCTTGTCTGAATTTTATGCATGTGATCCGCTCTGCCGAAATATGTAGGTTTCCCTAATCGACTTTGAATTTCTTTCCTCGCTCGAAGGCCTGTGTCCGCTGTATACATTGCATAGAGACGTGACTTTAATCTTCTCCTTTCGTGACTCCCATACTCCTTTATACTTGGTACCCCCTGAAAGTAAATTTTATTGCTCTACGCTTGACCTTTTCTAGATTCCTTTGCTGCAAAATTCTGTATGGGTCCCAAAATACCGCGCCATATTCTAATATAGGTCGCACTAATGACATATATGCTAGTTCTTTGGCTCTCACTGTACTCTTTTTCAGTATCCGCATAACAAAATGTAAAGATTTCCAGGCTTTCCCTACAACGAAATTGACTTGATTTTCCCAGCTCAATTTACTGTCTAGCTGTATTCCTAAGTATTTGCAAGACATGACACGAGTTATAACATGTTTGTACGCGTTTGTTCAGTTTGTACGCAGATTCATTGTAACTTCGACCCCTACTAAACGTGATGGGCGTGCTCTTTAAACTGTTTATTTCTATGCCGTTTGTTTCTGCCCAGATGTGTAATTTGTCTAAGTCTCGCTGCAAAATATCTTCGTTCTTCTCCGAGTTGATAATCGTATAAATTACACAGTCATCTGCAAAGAGCCGTACATTTTGAAGCTAAATTAGTCGGCAATCATTCACGAAGGCCAGAAACGTGAGTGGTCCGATTACACTTCCTTGTGGAATTCCTGACGTGACGTTTCTTGAGGTTGATAAATAACTTCCGACTCGGACTTTCTGTTTCCTGTTCCGAAGTAGTTCGTTTATCCATGCTACTACTCCATGACTATACCCGAATCTATTAATTTCTTTATAAGACGATCGTGTGGAACAACATCAAAAGCTTTGGAAAAATCTATTACTATCGCGTCGACCCTTTTCCCTTCATCAACTACGTCGGCTAGGTCCTGTAGAAGTGAGACTAGCTGACTTTCGCATGAGAAACCATTTCTGAAACCGTGCTGACCCTGATGAAGCCACTCCCTGCCCTCTCATTCTTTTCAGATGTAGCTTGAAATTAGATGTTCCATAAGTTTGCATACCACTTATGTAAGGCTTACTGGCCTATAGTTACTAAGTATTGTCGCCACTTTTAAAATAGGAACTACGAGAGCCAGCTTCCAATCTTCCTGTACGCAAGCGTTGTTTATTGATAATTAAATAACCTAATTAAATATGGTAGAATAGCCTCCCCACCTAATTTAATGATGTCCGTGGAAATACCATCAGGACCTAGTGATTTTCCTCTCTTCATTAATATTATTCTTCTCCCCAAAGTATTTACATAAATATGAAATCTACTTCTATGTACAAGCGTCAGTATCTGAATACTGTTAGGTTTCTGCTTGAACCGAGCTGAAATATGCGTTAAAAGCCTGCGCTTTTCCCGTGTCGTCCGTTGTCGGCGAATTATTAACACGAACAACTGGAATCTCGTCTTTACTTCCTTTCCTTCTACGAACGTATATAAAAAATACCGACCAATTATTACTGCCCTTCGCATCAAGAATATGTTTCAAATGACGTTTTCTTTTCCTTCCTTAATGCTTTTGAATAATTTCGAAATAAGGTCATATGATTTTCACTATGGTGTCTGTTGTTAAATGCTTCTCTGGTTTTTCTTTTCAATCGCCTAATATTTGCATTATAATATTCCGGATCGCAGTTACTTTTTAACAATTAACTTGGAACAAAATCCTGCTCAGCATTTACTATTTTTTTTGTTTCCGCCCTTAACAGCAGAAATCGTCTTTATTTGCAAACTCCGCGAAAATTTGTGCTTCAGCTATGTTGGATCTCTGGGCGGCGTTACCAGCTGACAACTTCAGTGGGATACTTCTTTAGATTCGTTTCGGCGCGCTGCAAAATTCGCAATGCCTTCCCTTGTGTCATTTCATCGCTCCTAATCAGACTCCCTTGCATTTGCTCTTCTGAGGACGTATGAGCGGTAATACATCTAAGTGTACGAGTTGGATAAAAATTACGCTCTAGTTTGCAAACCACGAAAATATATTGTGTATATTCCATAAAATAAACTAATTATGTAGTCTAGGTTTCATTATATAACGTTTTTACAAATTTTGAAGCCAATTGGAACAAATACGGGCCATTATTTTATTTTTATAAACTTCTGTAAAGTAAAGAGCACATATGCTTTTCTTGCATGAAAAAAAAGACACAGATTTGTGATATTAGAGAACTTGTGATGTAATGAATAGGTCTCATAACATTTTCAGCCGATATAGTTTTTTAAGTTTGGGCCCAAAAATCACTGAAGGTCCTAAGGTATAAGATATACTGGATGAGTCATTTCAGATGGAAACAAATATCACCTCCGTTTTCTCCTGAATTATAAAAACATGTTTCCTTTTGCTGAGATTCTCATCATTTCGGCGCAGCAAAAATTCTTCGTTACTTGATTATCACCGCAAATGGTGATCCCGTATCGCCACCGATTTTTGGCCGCCAGAATTTTAGCCCTCCAGCTGGCCATCAGAATTGCAGTGCACTCCCTCCTAACAAATGGCGAAAATGACCACGCGAGTTTACCAGAACCGCTTCTAGTATTTAAAAGCACATGAACTTACAGTGGTATACAGGTTGTGACAAAATTGTAAAAAAAAAAAGCAACAAAACACTTTGTACGAAAATCTGTTTCGGAGACCATACCCGCAAAGGAATTGTTAATTACTCATATTATGAGGAATACGTTGAAGTGTTTTTCACTGTAAATAACTCTTCCTGTATATGAGTAAAAGCTGAACTCAAAGGCTTAAATTTAAAATGTAGCAAAACCAGTTTCATTTGAATTGTCTCAAAATGTTTTGTTTTGTGTATAATATTCAATTTGTGTTTTATTTAATGCTAAATACTTTGAAAGCAAACTGAAAATTGATTGTCACTGAAGTGCAAATATTTGATCCCATCGGGATCCGAGACGGGACCTTCTGTTATCTAGACAGATGCTCCGCCATCTAAGTTATGGAATCAAATATTTCATTGCATTTGTGACAATTTATGACAGTTGTACCATACATTGAATCCAAGTTTTTATAATGTCTTTTTCCTCACATTGCTATTTAGAGTTTTGGGAAAAGCATCCAGATATTTCCATGGTGAAATGGATACAAGCGCTTGAGAGATTTGAAGATAATAATGAACCAGATGAAAATTTCTCATCAGAAGAGGAGGCTGATTCAGAAGCTGGTCAGGAGTCAGGTAGCGAATCACCTGGAAGTGTTGATGAAGACAATGGAAGTGATAGTGGTAATGACAGCAGTATTAAACCAGGTCCTTCAAACTTAAATAAATTTGCAGCTCTTGATTCTACTGAATAAAGTATTTTGATTTTTTAAATTCTTATTTTAAATTGTTATATGTAAACATATGTCAGATAAAAATTTTGGTGTTCAAATAATACAATCTTTTGTTCCTTGATATGCTACTATTACTATTTGTAAAATTATAAATAGTAGTTTGTTTTAAGAGTGAGAAGTAATGGAATAAGGTACCTTTGCTAATACTATGTGGTGATGTAGGACACAATGGGAATGATTGTTCTACATTAGCATTAATATTAAACTTAGTCCAAGTGATAAATTTACTCTTCTAAATTTCACAGTATGGTCCAAAATTGTCTTATTTTTTAATTGCAACATGTTAATCAATGTGATATGCATGGGATAGTGGCATGAACAATATTGTAAGTAGGTTTGTTGTTACTTGATCAATAAAATATGTTCGGTGATATGCAAAATTTGATATATTTTAATATAAAAACAATAGGAAATTATTGTTGAATTGATTTCAGTTTGAGGGTATCAAAGGATTTGATACCCTTCTTCACAAAGTATAAATAAAATGTTTATAATAAATACTAACGATTTCAGGTAAGTTTTTGCCTTCTCTGATCCCTTGTACAGGATGTCAATTGAACTGTGCGAACAGTGTGCTACGGCCCGCGCGCAACGGGCACTTGATTCTCTGGAAAGTGGCAGCCTAAGGCTCGAGCTTACAGTTAGTTGCCCGCACGGTGTTGCTGAGATGATGATGATGATGATGATGATGATAATAATAATAATAATAATAATAATAATAATAATAATAATAATAATAATAATAATAATAATAATAAACCGAGCGAAGTGGCTCAATGGCCGGCCATCCTTACTGGAGTATGCATGGTTTCCCTCGGTCATAAGGCGAATGCTGAGATGGTTCCAAAAGCTCACGAACATTTCCCACTACCCCACCTAACACCTACCATCATCCTAGTCCTTTCATCCCTCATCATCACCCTAAAATAATAATAATAATAATAATAATAATAATAATAATAATAATAATAAATCCTATCCCCTAATTGACATTCAAGGCTAGCAACCTTGTCTTAACCAAGAAAGGCTGATCTCCATAATTCCACACGTTCTCTCAGGGTAGAATACAACTGGGCCTCAGAGAGTGAAATGTGTTGCGTGGTCAGTAGTAGCCCATACGTGAATAATAATAATAATAATAATAATAATAATAATAATAGTAATAATAATAGTAATTTTTTGTGGAGGAGGAAAATCCTTTATGGATACCATTGAAGCTGGTGATGTCGGACTCCCAATTGGGTTACCGACTATCACATAACCTCTGTCTCTTGAACCGTGTTCTCTCCCTACGGAAACCGCCGTTAGACACTACTTCACGCAGGAGATTGGCTGGTAGCAGATGCTTACTTCCTTAGTCGTAACTCTTTCTTCATAATACTAACTATGAAGTTCTCTATTGTTTTCCATTTTTCCTGCGAACTCATCATCATGTCGACCATGTTGTCTGCGTTTATATCTTGTTGGAGGTTGACATTACAAACCTCTCGATCCGCGTGTCATGCCTTGCACTGGAATAGTGTGTGTTCTGCATCATCTATGTATGTGTGTCAGTCTACATGTGGGCCTCTACGATCCTGAAATCGCAGAGGTATGTTTTAAATCCTCCATGTCCCGTAAGAGCCTGGGACAGGTAATAACTCACCTCCCCAAATCTTCCGCCAACCCATATCTCGATGTTAGTAATCAACCGATGAGTCCATCTGCCTTTCACATGCCCATCCCATCTTCCTTGCCGTTCTTCATGGAGCTCTTTCCTTGCTTCTGCTTTAATACTCTGTTTGCTTGGGAGGGAGATGACTGCTTGTTGTTTTTCCTACAAGGCGAGGTACGCCATCTTTCTTTCCATGGTATTAAGTCGATCGGTGGTGTACTGGCCAACACCAGCACTGTGCGGTAGGCACACGCCACCCTCAATACCATTCGTCTTTGTACTTGGGCGTACTTGTGTCTGATAGACTGATTCTCCAGCGAACCCGCCCAGACTGGAGTAGCATAAAACTATGAGTGAACTATGCCAGATATTCTTCTCTTAGCGTCTCTCGGTCCGCTGACGTTCGGTATCATTCTTGCGATGTTAGCTCCTGTCCTCGCCGCCTTTTCTGCCATCACATTTATGTGGGGCCCGAAGCTGAGTCTATGGTCTATTTCGACTCCTAAATATCTTATCTAATTGATTCTCCCCCCTCCCAATCGGAGGTCTGGGTAGTGAAAGGTCTTCCGGTCGGTGATTAGGACAGCTTTGGGTTTTTGCACTGCCATCTGCAGCTGTCGTCTATCTAACCATCTTTTAACCCTAAACAGCACTTCGTTCACTCTCAATTCGAAGAGAATAATGTCATCACTGTGGCTTATTAGCGTATCATCAGAATAGTCTATGAGCTGCGTATTTTTCGGCAGGTCAATGCTTAGAATGTCATCCTACAGGACATTCTATGAAAATGGCCGAAGTCTGGACCCTTGAGGAGCACCGCACGTCACATTCTCTTCTATCCTGATACTGTCCACATAAGTTATCGTCCTTTCATGGAGGATGTCTTCAATAATCCTTATAAGATATTCCAGAATCATCTTGTTAACTAACACTTCTATAATGCCCTTTCACCTAGCGGAGTTGAAGGCGTTTCTAATGTCAATTGCCACGAGCGCACACTTCTTCTTGCCGACTCTTCTGGCTGCGTCTGCTTTATCGATTACTTCCAGGCTGACATCCATCGTCGAGCGGCCTCTCCGGAATCCATATTGCCTATGAGAAAAGCATATATGTCCCTCAAGCCTAGAAAGTATTAAACCTTCAAGCAGCTTGCCCATGGTATCAAGGGGTCACAGTTGTCTATGATGTCTGATCTACCGGCTTGCCTTTTCGGAGGAGTATCTGCTTTTGTCTCTTCCACGGCTTGACGAATTTCCCATCCCGCCAAGTTTAAAATGTATAATTTTTTCCTCTAAAACGCCTTCAAAGAACATCAAACGCCCTGTTAAAGAAAAGGCGCCAAATTCGAAGTAATTTGGCCGGTAATTGTCAACAGTGGGTATGTAAACGTTCTATGATCTCTATATTATCCTTCATCAGCTCTTGAATAGATTCCCATCTTTACGGCGTCCAGTCCACAGCATTCCGTTTCCCTCAATGCGTGGGCTCTACTTGAACCGGAGATTCATATAACGCATTATCTGTCAGACGCCAAGTGGTCCACGTCTCTGTTATTGCAGTCGTTGGATGACGACCGCCGGGACCTGTTTGCCCACCCCCGACTGCCGGTACTGGGGCTCCATCCCCTGTACCGTAAAGGTTGATCCTAGGGGACCTTCCATCGCGGGTTTCCTTTCGGGGTCATCTTCTAGCGTTTTAACGCCAGCATTATCCCAGTAGTGGGGCTGCCACTTTGCTGCGCCTGGGCCTGTAGGATTTCTTTAGGGTTGACTCCCTTAAGAGGTTTGGCTTCACCTGCCTAAAGAGCTCCTCCTTCCCTTTAGGAGACGTTTAAGGTGTCGGCTTGTATTTCATAAACGTCTCTTTTGGAAACAAATGAGCTCTTTAAGGTATCGGAAATGTTCCAACGTTGCATTTCTGTCAGCTGGCCCAATGTTTTAACAGTGGTTTCTGTCGTTTCGTTGGTCGTTGACTGTAACCGTGTGATTTTGTTGTGACTTGTGTGTTTTGTTGCCGAATTTACATTAAACGGAATTTTACGAAGCTTATAAGGGAAAGCATTTTTGCGTTTTATCAGTTCAAAATGCGAAATCTCTCTGAATGATGTAACAGTATAAAATTCTTGATGTTACGTACCAACGTTTCTGAAATTTAAGAAATTATTTGGCACAGGGTAGCTTGACTAACTTTATACAGATCTGCGCAATCTAAAAAAATAATTTATATACATTTATGTAATCTACAATAAAATTATCTGGAAGGTGTAAAGTCATTTCATTTCTTTCAGAAGATTGCACAACATATTTCATATCTTTTGCATGCAGTCTTATAGAACGAACTTGAAAAGATGAAGTTGCGTAAAATTAATGCTATTATTAGCAACTTCATAAGAGGTGGGATTGGTAAGCCTATCTTTGTTTCAACAGTGATTTTACGGAAACGAAACTAGAACCGTCTGAATTATTCATTGTATATTTCCAGTGGATTATCAGTATTTCTGATACGCATACGTACACATTGTTGAAAGATAAGTAAAAGTTTGACATAAAGAAATAAAAATAAATTTTAAAAATCGTAAGATTATTTGAAAAATAGTCATTTTTCATTCTGAGTTATAGAAAACTTATTTGCATCGGTACACGAATTGCAAGTATGATTTTTCTGCATTGGTAACAAAATAGCAATGAGTCTAATTATTGTTCAAGACTTGTTTCCAAATGCTTAATATTATGACACTTATGGCTATGAATATAATAACAAATGAATGCAATTACCAGTATACAAGTAAGTCACGAAACTTTGTCACCATCTGTAATTTTTGAACGGTTGAAGTTATTGCAGTGCAATTTTAACGGAAATGCATGAGGGATTGGGATTAATTGATGAAAGTTTTCGTTTTCATTTTACCAGTATATTTTACGAGATATTGAGGTAACTTTGCTTTTTAGAAATGGAACGATACATATTTTTACCCTATCATGAGCGTTAAAAGCACAAACCCAATGATATACATATTGTATGTTAAATACACGTTGTTTTAGTAATTTCGATTTTTTGCAGCTAGTATTTAAAGGATATTTTCATTGGAACAGTGCACCACCTAAGGGCAAGCAGTACTCTTCCTGCTAAGCGGGCTGGGAGGGTTAAAATGTCCGTTAAACACGAGTCGCAAAAATCTAAAACACTAAAAAAATACTTATCGAACATATGACAATACGTATATCATTGGATTAAGCTTTTAAGCTTGTTATGATGGGCTAAAATTACACAAATGTAATGTTTTGAAATATATCTTACGCCGTTAATGTACACATTTCCAGCAATTTGTATACATCATTGCATTTGTGAATAGAAATGCTTAAAATGACTTCCAGTGAAGCTTTTCGAAAACAAAGGATTCCTGTGAAAAATATTTTCAAACCTTGCATTTACACGAGCTAAAACAATTTTTCTTAAAAACCCGCTGTAAATTCAAGTAAATTTCTATATAGGGCGAGGTTTGTCTCTTCTTTAATGTTTTAAAAGTAATATTTCGAATCTACCATTACGAAATCGAATAATTAAGAAAACTTAAAAAAATGTACCCTGGCGGAAAAACGTATTGTAACTCCGGGAAGGGAACGAGCAATCAAGTCTGCGATAAGGGATGAGGGTCGTAGAAGCCACAATTAACATTTCACGGGTCATTGACGCCCGGTGACGAAATGGCCATCTACACCGCGGCTTTAAAAGGCGCTGTCCACTGCGATACGGTCTAGTCGGGACTTCGGTATGCAAAGGTGTCGCACTCGTTCTTGCTTTAAGCTATTTGTCCAGTTTGAGCGGGGTCAGATTGTCGGCCTGCGTGATGCCGGGTGGT